TCTGTTTATGTGTGTACTGTGGATGGATGTATGTGTATGCTTGGTCTTATTAATATATGTATGTTTACGTATTTGTATGTATATATGTTTATATATGTATACATGTATGTGTATGTTGGTAAAATAATGCTTGAATGTATTTCCTTAAAAATAAGAAAATCAATTTCAACTTTTTATCAAATTATATATTTATTAAATTATAATGCCACTGAAATACGTAAATTAGTAAAAAGCAATTAAAAGCTATCGATTTTGACAGGTGCTTTTTATGACCTCTAACATTCACCCAACGCGTGCAAACAAATTTTGTAAAACTTTTTACCAAATATGGTCATATACTTCTTATAACCGAATAATGAATAGTCATACAAGAATTTCTCATTAGTTTTGTTGACGGTATATCCCAATCGAATGAGTCATATTACACTTATATGTAATACTTCTTGTTATAGACTAATATGGTAATTTATTGCTTGACATTTCCATTTAATGTATCGATACGAGTTTATGGAAGCACGTTTGATACAAATTCATAGAAGAATATTTAAAAACATGTGAGATTCACTTTACTTTTCATGTCAAAAGGCTAGTAATTACGTTTTCTTACATCATTTCTAATATCATTTTTAAATTGATCAAATTCCATTTTCTTTACTCGTCATTAAAATGACATGATACTGAGGAATGTGGTTGAAATGTTTTCACATGAATTATCATTGCTGATTCAAAGAATATCTTATCTTTGTCATTCATTTCGGAGTCATGCTTTGCTTTGGTATTCAAAGCACTTAGCAATTCTGAGGAATTTTTGAATTCAGCAGAAATGTATTTGGAACAAAATTTGAATTTAAAGCATTTGTGGTTTTTGAATACAAAAAACATCTATTTGTGCAGACGGTAACTAACCATTCAATCAAAGTAAACGACTAATTATAATTTGAAAATGTAATTGCTAGCCTCGACAAAATACAATGAAAATTAATGTGTGATCATTTTGGTATTGGTCACTTTTGTATTTAGATTCATGTTGTAAATTCACAGAGGCTCGGTTGAACATTGAGGTCTTATATGGGCGTTGTGTTGATTATTGTCAGTACGGTTTTAAACTCCGTATTTGACCTTCGTCAGTAATGACGTAATGTTATTAGTCCTTCCCGTGACGCATAAGCTGCTGCTGTGTATGTTAAAATAGGCATATTTTTTAAATTCCAAAAAATGAAAAAAAAATACTTATATAAATTTTTTATCGCCAAAAATGTTAGCAAATCGTTTTGAAAGAATTGAAATTATTTCTTATTAAATTAGACTGCAAGTGCTACACATGAAATGTTCATATTGTTCAATTTTACCACTTCTAGCTGGGTTAGAGTGTTGCATTTTCTTTGTATTATTATGTACATTTCAACATCGTGATTGAAATAAATATTTGAATCAGAGTTTTAACGTATCACAACGTTTATATTTCAACTTTTAGAATGAAATATTCCTCCTTCATCAATTCAAACATTCTAAGTAAATATTAACGTGTAATAATTTTCAAGTAATATTTATTTAGTGGTAAATTGTATGAATATTTGCACGATTATAGATACACGTCATTTTCCCCATATTTCTTCACGGTTTTGCAGAAAAATATCACATAGTTAAATTCATTTATTAATAATTTCAATGACAAATTCATATGCCAAGCAAATAAGATTATATACGATTTATCAATACATGTTACTTAACTTAATACTTTCACCGTTATCATCTTATAATATAATCTTATATTACTAACAGTATTCTTATGATGAACGCACAAGGTCAGTATACTCTTACCAACGTGACCTTCAAAAGTCGCACGTTATTAATAATTTGCCTCCTTAATGATTCCAATTCGAGATTTTGTTCACGAAAGAATTTTAATCGTCTGCGATTCTTTTAAAAACCTGCGAACATATGAGATTCTTTATCCATTTTCTGAATTTCACTTTGATACTTTTTTCGAGCCTAGCGTTTATTTTACCACAATATAGTTGTTCGAATTTTATTATAATAATAGAAATCATTTGATGATTAAACTAATTTATTAGTGAGATTTCCATTCTTACTTTCTCATCTTTGCGTGCATTAGAAATTTTAACTTCATTATAATTTTTGTTTGTTAATATGCATTATTTTCTAGAGTTGCATATCAAAATATAGGTCTGGTTCTTGCGTCAGATTTGATGATATAACCTCATGGTGACTTGGATGATTGATTTTTTGTTTTAGAGAAGACACCATGCATGTGATTAGTGCTTTCTGGACATTTCTTTTTAAATGGATTAATATATGTGAAAGGACGATTTAGGTTAAATTTATATGAATTGATAACTATATAGGGATCGTTCAAGTATTACGTAAGCAGATTTATTACAATTATTTACCCTCCCCATCCCCCTTGTCATCAAAAGTAAGCAAAGCTCTTACCCCCTACCCCCATGCTTACGTAAAAATTTTGCAATTAATGTAAAAAAATAAAAATACTACCTATGACGTAATCATCATCCAGACTCCCCTGCCTCCCATGCCAACCCAAAATAAGCAAATCAACAACCCCACCCGCCCCCCTATAGTGCTTACGTAATACTTGAACGGCCCCATAGTAAGTAAAATTCATTTCTGCCCTTCCTGTTTTAGATCAAATAATACAATCACACTAGGCCTATATTTTTTGCTCTACTTTTGTTTAAATCAACCTTCTATTTAATCATGCTTGCTTAAATAGACACTCTTTAGACACTCAATTGATATTTTATAGTTAAATAGCAATATATAATTGCTTATATATTATTGCATTTAGATATGAAATAAATTTATTAACGGCTACAGTTTTGAGAGATTACTGTGTAAATCAGCTTCGATATCACGATATCAAAGTTTTTAACACGATGTTACAAATTTTAACATCTGGATACTTTAGAGATTTAATAAAACGTAAATAATAAAATAAAAGTAAAATATTTTTTCTGATAATCTTTCGTTTATCTCCATTGGATTAGGTGTGACAACTTTTATCATCACGAACAATTGTAAATTTCCGTTCAAAACCGCACAAAAGCGCGAACAGTTCCCAACTTCCATAATTCACAGGGATTTGTTAACTTTTGATTTAACTGTAATAATTTCATACCGGTTTAGTTAACTGTTTAAATTTTAATAACGTCGGGAGCTGGAACAAAATAATTTTAATGCGGATTTAATTTAATGGATTAATAAATCAATAAATCACCATCGACTTTAACGACTTCATTATATACCTCACATAGACAACCAAGACATAACCTGGCATATAGGGCGTATATTTCACAATGTGATGCACAATAGATTTTTCTTTTTGTAGAAAGTTTTTCAATTGTTTAACTGAGAATATAAACAAGTTATATTCTCAATCAAATTCAGTCCGCTTTTGGTTCCGCACAATCGCATCAATTTCCTGGAAACGCACGATGAGAACGGATGCGGAATACAAATGCTAATACTGAACAGAATGAATAACGCAGGTCACACCAGTAAAGCTCACTGGACACTAACATTTTTCGTCATTGCCTAAATATTGATGATCATGGGCATTTGATTCATTCATTCATTTGATTCATTTGACTCTTGAATTTCGTTTGACAAAAATATATAACAAAAAGTACATAATTCCAGCCTAAATTTTCTTCATTAAAATCCTCCGTGATTCTCCGCCCCAGGCGTGTGGTTTATTCAAACTGATATTTTTACATGTCACCTATTGACATTCGAAAAAGTCGTATTTTTGTATGTAGTAATATTTTTTGGAATTAATTTTTTTTTATTCTCTTTATTGAATTGCAATCTGTCTTTACGAAAAGGAAGACATTTAGTAATTTCGATGATATATGAAATATTAAACATTAGATCTAAAAGGTTACCCAGTAGTAAGCCTTTTCAATTTTGATATATTAAATTTAAATTTCGTGATTATATAGAGTAAACTTAATAATAAAAAGATTTGGAATTAAGTAATGCATCAAAATTATAAAAATTCTTCTAAAAGTCTTTAAATGAACATAAACTTTCAAATCAAATATAAATTTCTGTAATTTCTCGCATCGTTACATGTTATCTACTTATTGAATTTAAACATACATGGCAGACAGATAAATGTAATCCTTTTAGATTTGTCATTTTCATGCACTTAGTTTTACCAAATTTTCCAACCAATTAATTAATCATTCAAGATAAATTTAGGAGGTATAAGAAAAACGTTTATAGCGTAAAATCACCCATTGCATATGTACATGAATTTATTTTAACCCTTTCTACTCGGATGCCGACGCTCCGGCGGCAAAATTCATGTAAATCTCGGAATTCGCGAGTGGAAAGGGTTAAAATATAATAAGTTAAATTAAAAAATAATCATCGGGAATATAAACAAATATATGTATTTTTTTATTTTTATACATTAGCATATATGCATGGGACTACATTTATAATGTTTAACTGGTTATATCGATAAGGAAATAAGTTTGTGATTATAAAAGTAAGAAATTTGTACATATTTGTAATTTTTAATATATATATATATATATGTATATATATATATATATATATATATATATATATGATAGGTTGTCAAATATATATTATGTATATATTATATATATATATATATATATATATATAATAGGTTGTCCGCCATTTTGTATGTAACCAAGAGCTAAAAAGCGGAAGGGAGATATTTGACAACCTTTATATATATATATATATATATATATATATATATATATATTATTTGCAAACATATACATGTATAGAAGATATGACACCAGATTTAGATTTTTCATAGAAAATTTGTGATACCAGTTAGGTGATACATGATACATTAAATGCATTGCGTAGCTATATCTTACAATAAGCGATTATAATTTTCGTAAAAAAATATTGCCAATATATTGTTTGGACATCGGCGTAAGTTCCTGACCGATGATTTTTTTTTCCAAAAACAGGCCGAATCTGAAGTCGCTGCCTTGAACCGACGCATTCAACTCTTGGAAGAAGATTTGGAACGTTCAGAAGAACGTCTTGCCACCGCCACCGCTAAATTGGCTGAAGCCTCACAGGCTGCTGATGAATCAGAACGGTAAGTTATCGGTCAGGAGATTTCACAAATGATAAACATACACTTCCAAACTACTTGGTATATTAGAATCTTAATTCTTGGTTACTCATAATAGTTAAAACTTCAGAAGAAGATCTAAAGAAATCCTTGAACCTAAAGAATATTTACAATCTAAATAAATTGGGTCACCATATAGCAATTTTGACAACCCAACTATTATTTTTTCGGTTATTAAGAATTCTGCTTGAAAGTTTTTTTTCTATAAAACAGATTATGAAAATATATATATTTTCTTGCTATTAATAAATTTTATTTCAGATATTTTTTTTTACTGTGTGTGGTGTGTTTATACTTTCTTTTTGCAGAGAAATGTTGGGAGGTTTTCAATATATTTTGACACACATGTATACATAGGCATATGCACATATATTAAACATATGCATATAAATTGTGATGAGAGATAATTAAATTGCTTTTAATATACTGTAAATGAACAAAAAATTGTCCATTTTGGAAAACTATGTTGGAGATTAAATTTTCCGATTGTTTTTTTCGTTGGCTTGCCATCGTTTAATATTAGGGCAGATTGATGTCAAAATACGACAAAAATAAGCTGCGATAGTATGTTCTATTCTAAACATCAGAATTTTGCAAAATCTATATTCTTGTTCAGGATACGTAAAGCACTTGAGAATCGAACTAATATGGAAGACGATCGAGTAGCAATTTTGGAAGGTCAGCTCAGCCAAGCAAAACTTATAGCAGAAGAGGCTGATAAAAAATATGAAGAGGTGACAAAATATGTCAAAGAATATTGGTGGTCTTGAGCAAGATACGCCTTACAAAATATTATTAAATGGTTTTTTAAAATAAATATATAACAAGAATTTTAAGCGATCCTCAATCGCCAAATTGAAGTTGGCTGTGTTCAAAATTGTTTATTCATAACCAGTTTTAACTACTGTCATTAGCAATATTTAAAATTTTTATATGCATACTTAATGCAAATGTGATTCTTGCTTATGGCTATGCAATATTTTTGACAGATTTATTTATATATTGGTTTAAATTGGTAAGCGACGATTGTACAGCAGCTGTAGGGATTTTAGGGCAGGTGATAGTAATTTTACTACGATACTTTAGTGTGTTTATTTTTTTAAGTTTGTTTATGTATCATTGATATTTTTAATTTGTGTATGTATAGATAAAATATACATTATATATTATATGTGAATAAAAAACCAATATTGCTTTTGAGACATGTCTTTTTATTTATATTATAGAGGTATAGTGAATTAGTTCTTGTAACTAAAAGTTTCATGTAAAGAACATACTGGATTATACACCAAAGTTATTATCACCTGAGATATATTTAACTCATTTTTAATATTTCAGGTTTCCAGAGTTTCAGATATCAATTATTTTAAAAATGAATCGATTCATATAAAATTTGATCAGTCTATATAGATGATTTTGTTGGCATTCGTTTTAAACTATCTCATATTTGTAATAGAAGAAGATAATAGAAAAATATATAAAAAATAGTAGGTTTTATTATTCAAAGTTTTCATAAATTCCGGATATCGTCAAAAGTTGGCTAGATCGAATTATATATGCATTGATATGTTTTTCCAAATATTGTTCAAAATATTAATCATTTTGCTTTCTGAAATTTTTAAACTATAGGAATCGTAAGATTCTCGAAAATCGCGCGATGAATGAGGAGGAGCGTATGGATGCGTTGGAGTTACAGCTGAAGGATGCCCGTTTAATGGCTTCCGATGCTGACAAAAGATATGACGAGGTTTATATCATGCACACGTACACCTTATCTTTTCTCTAGACCAAGTAGACACTACACCTAACATAACATTTTCATGACCAAATAATTTGTGATAAGAGATAAATATTCAAGTGATATCTTGAAATTAAAAATTGGCTCGACTTGATCACAATTAGATATTTGTAGCGCGGATTTAGATTTTAGTTTAAAGCTTGAATAAATTTCACTAATATGATCAATTTTAAGAAAACATACAGAGAGAAAAGCGTTTTATAAAGTAGAAGAACTTTGATCACAAATTGTTTGGTTCGTCAGCATTTTGAAGTAGCGTCGTGAAATTTGCAGAACACTCCGATTGGCATTGGACATTAGGAATGTTAACAATGGCTACGTAGATTTTTCTATCCTTCTAATTGTAATATCCTGTAGTTAGATAATGTCTTTCATCCCTTGTTATTTTTCTGGTATATCCCTGTAGCGCCCGTAAGGTGCTTGAGAACCGTTCCCTCGCCGAGGAAGAGCGCATGGACGCACTTGAGAACCAACTTAAAGAAGCGCGATTCTGCGCTGAGGAGGCCGACAAGAAATACGATGAGGTGTTTATTCTCAACACGGAGCTCTCTATGTTCTTGTTGCCTTAATACCTGCCAAACATATTTACTAACACTTGCGTGTTTGTTTTAGTTTTCTGTTTGATTAATCTTGTTAGATTGCTCATTATTTTTGTCAACTTATTAAGAGTCAATTAGTAAGAGCTTTATGAACTTTTAGTTTACCTTTTTACAAAAATAAATTGCAATCTAACGCGTCCACCAGTTTTATCGTAACCAATTCCCGTATTTAGTATCACTAATTATATATTTAAAACTTTTATTTATCTGGATATATGATTCATACTTGTTCGAACGAATGAGACTTGCATATATTTTACCATAAAATATTGCTTTTTAAATGTCGATTTTTTTCATTATGTTTAGTAGTAACGTTTAATTTTACTGTTCGTCTTTTTTCATATGTGTCGAAACATTAGTCGAAAATCGATCTAATGCTGATATCGTTTCTATTAAAATTGTTATATTTTCACCTTAATTTCAATTTAATATTCTCAAGCTTCAATAAGTTGCATTTGCATAAAATTTAACTTACTATTATATATTTTATGTTTTATAATGTTCAATTTGTCTAAGCTTTTAATGCCTTACCATTAAGAAATTTTTTTTTTTTATATGTTGTGTCGTCCGAATAATAACGTGTCATATTTTTGTGCGGAATTGTTTAAATAAAAAAATGTCTATTTTGAATGATTGCATGTGCTGAAAATATTTTTTTACAAGTCTATTACTTACGAACACAATTTTTTGACCTAGGTTGCCCGTAAATTGGCCATGGTTGAAGCTGATTTGGAAAGAGCTGAGGAGCGCGCCGAAGCAGGAGAATCGTATGTTTTAACATAAATCGAATTTTGCAGTGAAACGTTTTCACTACCATAACGTGTGATATTAATATGATATCTAAAATCTAGAAATCCAATTTAGTATAAAAAAACTATTATAACTGGATTGGACATAAAACCTTTTTCTAGATTTTTTTGTAGTGCATGTTTTTTAATGTTTTTTTCAGGTGCAGCCATGGCGGAGAATTATAATATACATGCTTATTAATAAATTAATGGTTTATTTATATTTTCTATTTTAACATAGTTTTTACAAATCCGGCCACAGTCTACGCAATTTCAATTAAAAATCATTTAAATTTTTATTGCTAAAATTTAGATCAAAGATTTTTGCTTAAATTTATTGTTGTTGTACAGCTTTGCCTTGCATATTTAACCCTTAAGCTGTTGTCTGTGGTCTGGTTTTTAAAGACACCCAATAAGTTTTAACAACATTAACAATAAGTGTTTAGTTTTAAATTTTACAAGAATGAGCTAGATAGATTAGGTTAACAATATTTTGACAATAATATGATGCTTGTTAGTAACATAACATTTTTTTTAAAACGTGTGCTGTAGTGTTTGTTGTGTGTTGCTTCACAGGTTGCTCGCAAATTAGTGATGATGGAGCAAGATTTAGAACGTGCTGAAGAAAGGGCAGAACAAGGAGACAGGTTTGATTGATTTATTGTGCTAACTAACGAAATAACATTTAATATCTTTATAATGTATATTCATGTAATTTATTTGGGTACACAACTACAGTGGAACTTTGCTTAATGAATGTAATTTATTCAAGAGAAAATGTTTTAGTTTATTCATAGAGAAAAATCATACTCTGTTTGATTGCAATTGTTTACATAAGGTGTATAATATTCAATAATTACGTACAACTTTAGGTTAGTCTTGTTTGCCAGATAAGTATATCAGAGCAGTCTCGTTTGCTTTGGTTTTTGAGTAGTGAATGATTAAGTTGATATTTTTTGCAAGAAGGGCGAATTTATTTGATTATCTTCATAAACTATCGAGAAACGATGTTCGGTTTTTATCAACTTTATTAGTTGTATTAATGAAATTAATCGAATCACTTCCTTGTATTAAATCTGATTTAAAAAGTTTAGATTTTAAATTTGTTCATTTCTTTGGATGCTATCGATTGGAAATGAATCCAGCATTGTAAAATGTTTTGATTCAAAATATTTCGATTAACAATTCATTTCTGTCGTTACTGAAAATATTTAGCAGGTCTTTTTAGCTTGTTATTAAATGGATATTAAAAACAATATTTGGCAACGTTCCTTTGATTTCAATTCTTGTCAGTTATCGGAAAGTTTATGCAACTAGTCTACAGGCATAATTCCATTTTAAGCTGTTACAATTTATTTCACTGTTAAGGAAGGTTCCATTGTACTTTTTTGAGACATTCACAATTTTATTTTTTCAAGTCAAGTTTTATATATCTTCTTGAATTCAAATAAACGAAGTCTTATAATTATTAGCCAGCACTAATCTATTTATTCTAATTTTCAGCAAAATTGTAGAACTTGAAGAGGAACTTCGCGTTGTCGGTAACAACTTGAAATCTCTTGAAGTATCAGAAGAAAAGGTAATACTAATTTTTTTTATACTGTAATTATATATATTTAAAAAATTTATTATAGCCGATGAAGTTATTCACAATTTTAGTAAAATTCATTTTAATAAGCTTATTAGATTTTATAAGTTCTAAAATTATTATATTAAGGTGCAGATATTTCGTAATTATTAAATTTAAAATATCCAGACATTCATATATTTTTTACTTTAATTGTATTTTAACTAAATTAAATGTTAATTATTTATTTAATAATTTAATAAATAATTAGGCCAACCAACGTGAGGAGGAGTACAAAAACCAAATTAAGACCCTCACAACTCGTCTAAAGGAGGTAGAGACGATAATATTTTATCGTTGTGTTTTTGAAAATGCGTTATTTTTAGATCTAACCAGAATGCAGTTGCACTTGCGTGATAATATGGAAAATGGAACATACCATTTTTATGCTAATTATGTGTATTAAAACAGTGTGCTCAAGAGATATGATCTATATTTTGTAAAATAATACTTTTTTAGTATGATAATAATTAAATTAATTTATTGGATTGATTTGATCATTTTCTTCTGAAATGATTTGATTAATTAAATTTTGCATATATAATACAAATCTTGGAGTATTTAAAAAAAAACTATCTGTAATTATTTTTAGTAGATCATGTCTTGTGTGAAAATTATAACATTAATTTTTCGATAATAACTATAGAAGTTTAAAATTTTATTTTTATTTTTACTAATGATTTATTTTCCTTTTTTTCAATGTGTTGTCTTTTGCTCGATGTGATTTGGACTAACATCTAACAAACAAAATATAATAGGCTACACAAAGAGAAGAAAGCTTCGAAGGTCAAGTAAAAATATTAGATGGACAATTAAAAGAGGTAACACATACCTTCAACGTTATTATACCAATTTTATGAATCAACAATTAAAATTCATTCAAATTTCTTTTTTTTTAATATTTTCCTATTTTGAATACTGATTATCTGAGGAGCTGATGAAGTATTAAATCATTTTATAAAGCTTAATTAAATAAAATATAAATTGAAACAAACATTTTCACAATTATAATAAACTAAGTTATATCTATATACAGAAGTACTGTTTCAAATTCTACTTGGCTTTTGTTTTCAGTTAGTTTGCCTGCACAATTGTCTTTGTTTTGACTAATAACTTATACTTGCATGTGTTTTTGATGCACATCATTTAAACCAGTTTTATGTTGTTATATTGTTTTTGATCCCTACTTTAATGTTTCTATTTTTTAATTCATTCTATTTAATTTAGGCTGAAGCTAGAGCTGAATTTGCTGAACGTTCCGTTCAGAAATTACAGAAGGAAGTCGACAGGCTGGAAGGTATGATATTTTCATTTCCCTAATAATTTTATTTCTTTAATAATTGAAAAGAATCAATCAAATAATGTAAAAGCCAAGATAGGTGATGCATGGCAACATATCTTGGACATTGATGTTGTAGTAAAATTATTTTTTTATTTTTTTAGATGTAATTTATTTTGTGTTTTGCTTAAAATAATCTTGTTTTGTTTTGGCTTTAACAAATTGTTTTACAAAAAAATCAACAGACGATCTACTTGCTGAGCGTGAGAAGAATAAATTATTGCAAGAAGAAATGGAAGTTACTCTGCATGATATTCAAAATATGTAACGTCTCATGTTCACTTGAATGATATAATAAAGTGATCAATGTGTTTATTTACACTGCAAGAATTATAACAACGGACTACAACATTAACGATTGAAACTGAAAAATTTATAAATAATCAGAATTATGTGATGTTCAGTTCTTTCTGTTCAAATAATGTATATTTATACTGAATCGATTTCGGGCACATAACTTGATTACTTATAATCAATGGTATTATTTTTTATTAGTATTCAAACATAGGCGTGTATGTTGGTGCTATTAATTATATTTTTCCCATTATTTCATAAATTACAAAATTATTTGGTGCACAATGTGATTCCGAAATTTTCCAAACTTTTTTTTTTTTGATAATACTACTATGATTGTTAATGAAAGCAATTTAGTCACTATTATTTAGTTATAAATAATTCCCTATTAATTGTTGATGGCTTAACCATTTTTAGCTCGTTAGGTTTAAGATTTTTTTTACATATTCAATAACATAGAATTTTCAATTTCAATAATATTTTCAGTTTTATATCGATTTAGTTTGAATCAAAGGCCTTTATTGTACATCACATGGGTCTATGTCTTTCACTTCATTTTATAACTACACCCTCACAAAATACTAAATTGTAGGCCCATTCCTTTTATTCATATTATTGCTATTATTAGTAGTAATCTATTACCTTTAAAAATGAATAAAAGTTTAACATTTGGTAGCAATTCAAAACTTCCAAGCCGTGATAAATTAAACATTCCTGATAGTAAAGTGTAAAACTAAAAATTTATCACTGCCACGATAGGGGAATATTTTTCAGCTATATAAAAATATAAAAGGCTAAGACAAAGCATTAAGAAAAACTACTTAAATGTATCTCGAATTCAAATGAGTATTCATTCCAAATAATTACGTCAAATACTTATGAATATTGAAAAAAGAACTATATTAGGTTTTATATGTAATTGTATTATATAAGTGATTAAAAGCACGTTGTTTTATGAATATTGGAATTGTATTCAAATCCTCGAGGTTTCCGATTCATAAATTCAATTTGATGTCTCCAAAAGTATTGAATTTAAATATAGATATTACCATTATTTTAAATATTTGTAATCGTTACGTCAGATTCCTAGAAATTATTTTTGTAAAATTCGGCATATATAAATATATATGTTAAAGTTATATATAACTTGCATGGGCAAGTTTTCCTTTTATGCAATATTTTTTTTCACCATTTTGCCTTGTTTTATATCAAGTAATTTAAGAAATTACCAAATTATTGTGCATGTCATTTATAATTTATTTATAAGTAAAATTTTAAATTATTCAAATGTTGTGAACATTTTCTTCATAATTTTTTATACAACACTAATAATTGTGTGTGTGTTTATAATATATTATTTAAATTAACTTAGTTTTTTAATTTCTGTTCCTGTACCTTTCCTTATTGTTTCATGAAATGTTAAAATTTATGCATGTTTATGTGTACTTTTGTTTAAGTTTATAATTCAATATTTTTAATCTTGTTTTGTTATTAGCATGGTGTTTTTTATGAATCTTACCAAGTGCATTATGTTATTGATACTGAAACGATTTTATTCAGTATTTTTTTTATCAGAACTTACTATACTGTTATTTCTCAACCATAATTTTAGTTGCTATGTTTTAACTTCTTTGATATCTATGAATATTATGAAATATTATAATTATATTAAATATAATATAATTGTTAAATATTATATAGACTCGAAAAATTTTGATAATCAATTTATTTTATATTTAATTAGCGACGACGTTTTATTTGGTCTACTATTTTCTTATATAAATACAATATTTAGTTCTTTATAATTGATTATCAATCTTATTCAATCAAGGTGCCAAAATCAATATAATAATATATTTACCTTGATGCTGGTTTGCTAACATTGTATGCGTTAATCATGGAAATAATTAATTAACAAACTTTTTAGACGAGTTGGTCGCCGAGAAGGAGAAATACAGGGAAATTGGAGACGATTTGGACACAGCCTTCGTGGAACTTATTCTCAAGGAATAAACTTATACTTAGCAAAATCATCAAACTACTATTTTAGAATCTCTACAGGTTCTATTAGGTACACATCGCGTGTTGAATGTTCCCGTTGTCTGAAATATTAATTTTAACTAATCCTTGATTGTTTGTTTTATTAATAAGATAATTTTTTTCCTAGGTGAATATTTAACACAAAACGTGTTGCATATATAGTATTGGCTTACAACTAGTTTTAATGTGACAAACATTTTGCAGCATGCCTGATTGCAGTTTCAGAATTATTTAATCGTTCACAAGAAATATTTTTTCTCTATAGATAGCCGCAAATATCGGGCTAAAATTCGATTGTTCGAAATACTAATTCGACACAAAATTTACGTCGTTTGTAGTTATTTATTTCAACACTTCAGTTATGGTTTAAACTGAATTAAATTAATCAGTTAATTGGTTATCAACGTCTATTGCCTTTTGATATCAAAATAGTGAAAATGTTCACTCTTCTTGTTTTCCTATTTGAGGACTTGAATCGTAATATTATTCTTTATTTGACACTCATAGGGCTAACTAGAAAAATTTACAAAAATGATATATTAAAAACATGCATAAAATACATAGTCATTCCGATATATATTTTCACTTCCTAATTATGAAAATGAAATGAATTTTGTGATTATAGTTTACAATGAAATGTTAAAAAGTACAATTAGGGAGTAAACTGCTCCTTATAGTACTCTACATATTTTTATCAATATTTCAAACATCTAATAATTTTTTTTGCATCTCTAATTCAAAAAAAATATTTGAAGTTCTCTATTGACTCTAGTGCCTATTTGATCAATTAATGATAGATATGGTATTGAATAAATAATATTAACCTTTGCAACAATAATAATGCTAATAATACTCCATGGTTTGCAAAAAAGTTTAAAACACTAGCAAATCCTTACTAAAATTTCTACTGACCTTTTGATATGTTTTGGATATCCTGCACTTCGTGTGAATTTAATCCCACTAACTGTTTTATTTTTCAGGACTCTATATTTAATTTATATTTTCCTAATTCCATTATAGATTCCAACAAGTGCTCAACGCCAGATGGGCGCCTTACATCTATTTATGCAGCCCTACATCATTGTATACATATGTATTATTTAATTCAGGCGAATATAAATAATTATTATTCAAAACATGTGCACATATTAAATTTAAAGAATCATTTTATGTTTCTTACGCTATGTAAAATAAATTAATTTTATTGATGTACTTTCTCACACATACATTTGTATATGTAATATGTAATTACAATTTATTTAAATTATTTCTTTAATTGAGTTTTATTATTTCTTGGTGGTGAATGTAGTGCATTTTGATGTGAATGTATTTTAGCATATTCTATTATTATTCTGGTAATTATTTTATATCGTTTCAACCTATGTATTAGTGTTCTTATGGAATTGGTTTTATTATTATATTATTTGCAATTTAAATACAACGATTTTGGTATGAAGTGATTAAAATATTTCATAGGGAAAGAGTAACTAAATTTGTTGCAAAGTACAAATTTTCTTTTACTACTTTTACCTCAACTACTTTAAATTGATGGTGGTGGTGATGGTGTATGCGTTTTACTACTTACTATTTCATAAATTGAACCTACTTTACTTTTAAATTGATGGTGGTGATGGTGCGTTCAATTTTCTTACGAATGTTTATTATTTAACATAATATTGGGTTGTTTGAAAAGTAACTTCGTTTTTTATAGACATTTTCGCACGTAATTTTCGTACAATAAACAATTAATTTCATAAATTATGTATTGGCAGTTTTGATCGAACATCTTTTGTATTATTTCCAGTATTAGCATAATTCCGAGAACATAATTTTTTTGGTCGTATTTTAAAAAAAACTGATCAAAGCGCTTTTTGACATGGTGATTTGGGGTAAAGGTTTTACCGCCTAAAATTTTGTTAGTGGCCGGAACAATAATTGAACGATGATGGCAGTTCTGGGAATATGATGAATAGACCATTTAAGCTACAAAGCTTTGGCGATTGACCAAACTTATGTGACGTCGTCTTGATGCGGGACTATATATTGTCTTGTGGGTTAATTCTGACTTTTTCTAGTGGAGTATATCATTTAGTTATCCAGTTGATGACATAAGGCATTTAAATTAACCGTATATTATCCTTAAATGCCTGGAAAAGTGTGAAAAATGAACAACTCTTTTAAAATCTTACCAAACATACTGCAAACACCTTTTTTCTGGCAAATTTCTGCTTTGCACCTGTTTTGAGCAGGTAATTTTTTTGTTTCATGAGCAATTGAGTGTATTGAATTATTTACATTCCATAAGACATTCCTAGTGACAATTCGCTTCAAAAACCTGATAATTTTCAAGACTTTTCAGAGGCGAATCGCGGACACCAGTGCGACGACACACGTCTTTCTTTAGAACCATAATTGAGTTTCGTGAAATATCCAGACTTTTGAGTGGCCATGATGAACTGTTTAATTTGATAAATTTTATCACAATTGGGTCTTATGTATTGTTATTCGCCGGTTTGCATCAACTAATGCCTTTCTCACGTCTTTATCAACTGCAACCCGTACTTCTTGGACCATCAAAACCAGGAACGAAATTTAGCAAACCAATTTTGGATTGTCGTACAATCAACATGCCATTTTCGTACACATCGGTCAAAATTTTCACTTAATCTGAATTGTTACCTTTTTATAGCAAAAGAGTAAACTATGTCGAAAATGCTGCTTAATTTCTTTCCGTAATCCAAGAGGGCACCATCCAAAAAATTACGGCATGTAATTGATTAGAATTTTTACATACAAGCCTTAAAATATAAGTTTTCAAATCATATAATAATTGAAGGGCTTAAGTGTGATGTTAGGTTCAAAAAAATTATGTTCAATTTTGGTGGGGTAAAAAAACGAAGTAACTTTCCGAACAACCTTATACATCAATTTAAAGAATGGTTCAAATAATTTCTTACTTTAAAATCATCAACTTTTATTTTTAAATTTACATAAATTAACAATGTTTTTTTGCCTGTCTCACACAAATTCTAATCATTAGTAGAAACTCGGGTCTTGAACGAGTTCTGCAATTTTTACCGAATATATTATTGGATTATTGCATTACTCATTGGATTATTTGCATTACTTATTCATATGTATAACTAGAATACTAACTATTGCATGCTTCGTATTATTACATTTTTACTAACAATAACTAACATTTGCAGATGAAATAATAATGGAGCGTAGCAAATACAAAGCAATGGCGGATGAAATGGACCAAACGTTCGCAGATCTTTCAGGATATTGATTGCCATTATTTGACCTAATATAGATTCTTTAAATGAGTCATTGCAATAATTTTTATCCTTCATACTTTCTTTCAAATTTGCTCATTTGCATGCTTCTTGTCCTCTCAATTTGATGTTTATTTTAATTAATTTTCTGATCTTTTACGGGATAAAATAATGTGTGACACAATAAAAGTCGCACAGTGGCTGTGTAGAGATTTAAATATTACAAAACATATATAACATTCCATCCTTTATTTATAATGACAATTAACATACCTATTAATTAAAAAATGGGAAAAACAGTGGTCAGCTTCCATTCTATTTATAATGTGCTATAGAGTGAAATTAAGTGCTTGTACACATCTAGTTCACTGATATAAATTAAAGCTTTTTTTTATGAAAATTGTAAATTACAGAATGGTA